CTGTGTCCGATGACTGAATATGTGTCCACCCACTGACCTCTGACCACCCACTTGTTGACTGAGGCATTCGTGCTCGTAGAACAAGACTGATTCCAATCTCGGGAAATGCTGCAGAGGAAGAATTAGTTGTAATGTGGAATAGCCTTTCCAGATTATAAATTTTGAATGTGAAATATAGCACGCAATTTTTAGCTATGAGCTTAAGAGCTAACAAATAAGCCTAGGATATCTATTGTGAATGCGAGTAAATTCCAGTTGGTTCCGCTCTGTCGTTTGTGGTTCGTAATAGATGGATGACTAAGAAAAAACTTAACGTATGGTGAATTGATTTTCCTAAGAAACGTTGCGGCAGTTACTTTAACTGATATTTCAAACCAACTTCTGGTTCACTTGAGATGTATCGCCTGGCGAAAATTCCGTAAACAGGAAAAGATAAAACTCAATAAAAACAGACGAGTAAATAAAAAAAAAATCCAGAATAAAATGAAACAATTTAACGGCGGCATTATAGGGACATTTCGTTTAATTGAATGCACTGTGTAGACCCTGGGTAATGTCACTTAAATGATGCATTCGGTGACACTTCATGTTCGTGAGTACTCGAAATTCACAGACATAAGGCGAGTGTTGTTTGACTACGCCATTCAGACAAGCCCAGTTTTCAGTCTTTTTCGCTTTAAACAGCTGACTGCAAAGGCACCTATAGATTTAGTAGCCTCGCACACGCAATATATCTAAGGAAAAATTGCCGTCCGTCGAGAAGGAAAAGTAACCAGTGCTCATTCTTTATTGAAGAATCTTCATATAACAAGACTGAGCACAAACATCTCGATCTGACTATTTCGACAACGCTAGCTTCACAAACAATAAAGATGAGAAATACAATATCCTTTCTACCGGAGCTCACCTGGAATGAAAATCATGAAAATTTACTCTTATCAACGCAAAGCTGTGTTTTTAAAACTCTTGTTATCATCTGATGGTACATGTTATCCAGTAATAGTTTACTTATTAGCAAAGTAATGGTTTTTTATATCAACAAACTTCTGTGGTTGATGAAATAACAAATTATCAACGAGGCATGGTGCGAAACATATATACGAAAGATAAACATCAGATATTTTTAACTGGAGGAGCTATCACAATGTCTTGTTAATTTTTTTATCTAACCTTCTGCCTAGTAATTAAATCATTTGCTTCCATTAACATTATCACAACAAAACTTTAAGTTATTCTGCCGAGGAGGAATTCCTCATAGAACGTGCAAGAACGCCCGTTATTTCACTTTCTTATCTCAGTACTGTATTTCATGACAAGAACTCGAACGTTCATTCACGCTTGAACACGGTTGTAGGAATATTTCATTATCATTGTTCTCACGCGGATGGACCAAAGAACATCAAGTGAGAAAAGCGGTGAAAAACTTTGTAGGTGTTACTTAGAGTCAAGTTAGGAGATTACAGGACATAAAAACAAGTCAGAATCTGTCCCACCTGTTAACGTTATGAATTTGCTCAACACAAAAACTAAATACGCGACCAAAATTGATCGTAAGCAGTTATGATGCATTTTCATTCGCTTTTACTGCAACAGCTGTTCTCACTCTCCGTTAAAAGTTCAGGAATTCGAAAGTTTCCCCGCCATCTTCTGGCCAGCTTCCGCCACGATTATCCCATAAACGTTCGAGAGAAGTTATGTTAGAAGATTTCAGTTTTTTTTCGTGCGCGTGCAATTGTTTAGCACAAAGACAAGCCTTCGTTCATTTTTAAAACAAGACCACTTGCCGATAAGTTGCAAGTATTATTCATCAAACGTCAAAATATCTGTACAGGGAGTAAATGGCTCTAACTGAGTCAAAGCTAAGCTTTGAAAATATTAACTCTAACTTCTGCTAATCTAAGTAGTCCTTCGCCAGTAACCATTCTGAAAAACTTCGTATCTCATGGAACAAATTGAATTTAGTTAGTATTCAATCAAACATTTATCTTCTCCATTTTAGAAAACCCGTTATCTTTGAAATGAGTTTTATAATTAGGTTGTTTCGTAAAACTTACATTACCTTTTTTATTTGCAGAAAAATATGTGCGTTTTATGGTTTTGGTGTCTGCATCTATTACATGGCCTGTTTCAAATGTGTGGGTATCTCTAATGCTGCTAAATTTGCTCGCCCGTTTTTCAAAATAATGTCAGTTAAATTAAAAGTTACGTATATGGTTAATTATTGCGAGTAATAGGTTGCAAGCAAATATTTTTGAGAGCCAATCCGATGGATGTTTTGACAAAAACATGCACGGGTAACTAGATGTCCTAGATTGATTTTTCTGAACACTGAGTCACGCAGTTTTGTGGCACAGATCTTTTGTTTCTCTCCTGAAATTAACCCTATTGTTTATAAATGTATCTGAACTTCAAATTTTCAACTGAACAACATCTGCCAACGCTACTTTAAACAAACTCCTCTCGGAAACAAAAATGGGCTCTCTGAACCCTGCCCCGAACGTTTATACAGTACTCACGAAGCACCTCTAAGTGGTGTATATACGTTGGAATAAACAGTTAGTTAGTTATGCAACACGGTCAAGGACAAACAGCAGTGTCTTGAACAAAAACAGTGGTTTGAATAAAAACAACGAATTTCCAACTAGATTAAGGCTTCAATTTGAATTACAAATTCGAATCACGCTGATGAAAACATCCCTTCTTTGATATGTTTTCACAATATGGATCGATAGAGATTTCACCTGCCTATGAAACTGGGCGCGGTACAATTATTCCTAAATCTCTGTTTAAAACTCAAAACAAAAAAAAACAAATAATACGCAAGTACTGTAAAAAGGAAACGCACAAAATTTGCTAGACACAAGGAGCAGCTCTGCCCGATGTTATGATTACACCAAGTCTTGCTCGTTTTGGATATAATACTTGCCTATGATCTTTTGTCATCTTTCATTTGAGAACTACTAAGCTATTCTTCCAACTTTTCATAGTAGCTCCGCGTTGAAAAAACGCCAATCGATAAGGGGGACCTCTTCTTCATTATCTAAGTTTTTGCTTTGTGTTGAAGATTTTACGAATCGCGCAGAAGCACTGAACTGAGAGGCACTGATGAGAGTAACCTGTAAACTTGCCTAAAATCCTACCGGTTTACAAATTCTGACACTCACCAGGCTCACTCAAGTTCGAAAAATCTGTCACATACTAAACTGGTATTCAAACATATCAACAGAAAGGATAGTACCTTGATTCGAGAACCGCGCGGAAAACTGATTTCTGTGAGAGAGACCTAATTCCAAAAGTCGTTAAATATCATTTTAATAAACTCACCTCGGTAGTGATCTGCCAAAAGTGGCGATCCTGAGACAGCAAACATTAAATTCAATATTGCAAAATAAGATGATACGCATAGAGAGGACGCACATTGAAAAAAAGCCATCTCTACCAATTTAGAACTTAAATATAAAAACTTCCCCTTCCGAAAGTTATCCCATATAAAAACACCTTGATGTATAGGTTTTGCTCCTTGTGCTCAATCGATTGAATCCAATTAACCAAGCCTTATCTACTTAAGGGAATATCAAGGATTGTCCTTTTCAGTAGGAAATAACTCCATTTAAGACTTTTAAGGGCGTGTCCGTCATTGTAGTAATATGGTTAATCAAATGTCAACTTCTGTAAGAAATACAAATGACACTGTTGGCATCGAAAATTAATTTAACTGGCGTATTGTACTAAAGGATCGTTTGCTTGACATCGCAAATTTCTATTAAGGGATTTTGTGCGTTGATTAAAATCAAGGACAAAGACTGTTTTTTTCCTAGGTTATTATTGATTTTGATAGTCTCACCGACACAAAGAGGGGTCAAGAAAAATAGAGCCCAGTTGTTCAAAGGGAGGATAATGCTATTCAAAGGATAAATCACTATCCAGCGGATAAGTTTTCATAAAACGTACTGCGTTATCCACCGGATAGCGATTTATCCAGCTAGTGGATAGTGTTATCCACCCTTTGAACAACCGGGACCAGCTGTTTAATGTATTGGTGAACAAAAGTATTGTGGAAGTGTTGGTGATTGCGTTTGGTAAGGCAAACTTCCTTCTCCTCGTCACACTCAATAAAAGAAATAAACGAAAAAGATTGGGAGAAACGATTGAAACTCGTACATAAGCCTCATTCAAATCTTTAACAGCCAATCAACTCTAATGCGACATGGTAAAGGGAAAGGAAAGCTTGTAAGAATGACAGTTCATCCTTGAACGCCGTAAAGATTAAATTTCTAAACTGTTTGACATACTCTTCAGGGTTGAGAAACAAGGAGGGATGTGCTTAGAGGCTTAAAATGGTTGTCTTACAAATTTACAGCTGAAAAAAAGTCAAGACTAAGAAAGAGGACGAACGCATTTGCCTTTTTCAGTTAGGGACCTAGCAACTGTCGTAACAGTTTTTATATTTATCCCAGTGTGATTTGTCTCTGAGATTAGCGGGTCTTGCTAAAATTTAAAGTTGTTTAAAATCTCTTCATCTATCGCAAATTATTCCTTGCTTTGAAAAGGAAAAAGATGGTTAAATATTTTGTTTTCTCCAAATGCAGTTAGAAATTGAGCACGAAGGAACAACGAACTCGCCTTACTTCCTTTTGCTCCTTGCGTGCGTTAGTTTTTTGAAACCATCAAATAATCATATTCTTGACAAGAAGAATTCGACAGTATTTTCTTTTAAAGCCCTCAGATCTGAAATCAGACTTCACTCGAAAGCTAGGTTATCTTAACCCAGCTTTGAACAACCCGGCCCTGGGCTTTGCATCATTGTTGACTCTGATTAATACCTTCAGGCTGACAGACAAGAGTGGATTGCTGATTTCTCATTCGATTCTGTGCCATCATAACGTGTTCCGGCAACAGAAACCTCGGTAATTACAAACATGATGAAAATTTTGAAAAGTAAAATTGAAAGTAAAATTGACACAAGGATCAATCATCAATTTGTCCAACTTGTTGACCTGATCACCTATCTCAAGATTTTTTAATGTCATCGGATAAAACATTCAATACAACTTTTAATTCGTGATAAATAATTTCATATACTTAAATTAGGCGGTAGTTTGGGAGAAGAGTCGATTGATTCTTTGAAACGACCCCTTGATGGATCCTAAATGCTATTTCACTCTATTTAAAAGTGGATTATTTTTCCTGGAGTCGTTTTTGTCAATTATTCGTCTCTCGATCTGTAGTTGATAATTATTACTCCTACTACCGCCATGAGTCAGTACTAGTGCCCTCTGACTACCCTGAGCCAGCACCAGGTCATTTTTGACCAGCGGTAAAAGCTTTTCGGACGATTTTGAGGCAGGTGAAGGAAGAGGTATGGGTGAACCACGGGGCGTGGTGTACGGTGATTGTTTTCTCGATGATGGACTCCGACCCCGACTTGATGGATTTATAGCAGAACAATCGGAGCTGTGTGGTCTTGAAGTCCTGGCTAAAATAAATTAAATGATGTTTACTAAATCGCCAATCATCAAACTAATTGCAAACTCACTCACTCCTCCTTCAAAGAATAGAAATATTAGAGGTGATCCATACATCTTCATATCTGTCGTCAATAACGACGAGGCAATTAGTGCTGTCCATAGACTGCGTAATTTTTAATTGAGTAGCGCAAGAAATTTGGCATGGCTTTAGTTTTGCTCTACTTCTTCATGTGATCGGTCTAGAGCACTAGCGAAACTTTCTCGACCATTGAGATTCAAAACTTTATCTAATCACGACTTGGTCACTCGAGTTTCTCGCGCTTCGGGTATGTTGCGAGTTTGATCTTTGAGTTCTCATTGTCTACTCATTATCTTTTCCGTTCCCCTGATAGGCAGTCGTTATTACCTTTATTCTAGTTATACGATACTTGAAATACGCTCCAACGAAAATACAAAGCTTAGCACTACTAACCGTCAACAGCTGGTGCGTTGACTTGTGCAGACTCCCATCCTGCGTCTAGGAAGTACTCCCACTTGGAATTTATAGATGGCCACATTTTTACCGAGCCCAGCGGCGACGGGACTGGGGATGATCTGACCTTATGTGAGCGAGCAGATCCTTTAGCTGTCTCTAGGCGAGCAATGTGCCTTACCACAACATTATCTACAACATTCTCTCTGTATGTCCTCCAGTCGCTCTGCTGAAGATATTTCTGACACAAGAAGCTATCTTTAGGATAAGTGGTTGTTAATTGTTTAAGTTTATCAAGAGTTTCAGCGTCTGAATATTTGAAGAAAACTTCTTTGGCTACTTTGACAACTTCACAGCCGGCACTGACCAAAGTAAAGCGTCTGTCCCTTAGTTTATCCTCCTTAGTCTGCCTTTTAATACTTTTCTTGTTATGGCTGGTCAGGTCTCGTTCATTTTGTTGTGAAGGAGAGTTAGCCTTCTCAGCCGCGGGCAAGCAATGGTCCTCTAGCTCCAACAAAGACCACGCACCCTGAGATGGTGAATAACAATACGATTGTGACGAATTTGAAATAAAGGAAAACAGATTCAGCAACTGAAACAGATCCATATTCAAGCTGTACAGCAACAGCAGGTTTTGCAGACACAGACACGAGAGGATACCATAGGACAAGGTCAGGTTTTTAGCCATAAGACAATTTTACTAGAGCATGCCCAGGCTCAGAAACATGACACCCTAAGGATTTGATGTCAGTCCAGCGCTGGAATACCCTCTACAATTCTTCAAGCTTTGCTGACTGTTTTCAATACCCATTGAAAGCGTTTTGCTAAAGGGCACAACACAGGGACACAACCAGAGCTCAGCCCGATTCTTTTGTTCCAGAGTGCAACGCACAAGGAAACAGGCCAGCGTTTCTAACACTCATTCGAAAAATAGTAGTGTCACTTTTAAACTTGGGGCATTTGGTCTGCAAGGAATAATGAGAATTGTAGCTTGACTGGTGGTGATGCCACATGAAATGTATATGGCCGGCGGAAGTGGTTATTTCCACAACCTTCTGGGATCTCCGAAAACAGGGGTAATCTGAACATTACTCAAGCAAGTTTTGTCAGTCTCTTAGGTTGATATCCACACGCTTCATAGTTATTCGAGACGTGACATGCCCATGATGAAACTTTGAAAATGAATTGGGGCTGCCACAACTCCATATTTACGCTAACCACGGTACTTCAATTCTAGCTAGTTTACACTAAATGTATTATTCACCAGAATAGACGAGGAAATGAACTGACAATGTTGGGTAAGGGGTTATACTTACAAAACATTGACCTGGTCTCAATCGATCCACCATCATATAAACTCCAACACCAACATTCTCATCCACAGCGCGTTTCTCATGGAATCTCTCCTCCTTCTCGTTAATTTGGTACAGCGAGCCCGAGGGCTTAAGAGATCTTGGTGGATTTTCGGAAGGTTGCAAAACTTCTACTTCTAAACCGGGTAATTCTCTATGTTTATCCTGGAAACTCACTAGACCCCTTGGCGATTTTCTTTTTGAGCTTCCCAAGTGTAGGATTCCTTTAGTAACAGGCCGAGACGCTATCATTTCTGACTGATGCGAGCCTGGGTTTGTGTTGGGAGGAGCCGATTTCGCTTTTTCTCGCACCCTTTTTACCGAGCTCGTTGCAGTGGAGTTTTCCTCGGGGCTCTCAGATCTCGGAGGTAATCCTCGTAAAACTACTGAGCTTACAGAGATGTCGTCCACAAAAGGGTTGTAAATTGTTGACCCATCTTCTTTTATTTTCCCCATCCTATATTTCAAGGCGTGGTCGATGTATTCCTTACAGTCACCGAGGTCTAACAGTCTTAATACATTGCACTGACCCTTGATAAAACAATAAAAAAACAGACTTTGAAACCTCTATAGTTGTTTGCCTAATGAATTTTTTTTATGTCTCTATTTAGAAAAGTTTTAAATCCATTATAAATTAAGAACTGATAAACTTTGTGGTTCCCGGAAATAAATTTTCGTATAGCAAGTGAATAATGCGTATATTTTACTTATGTGCTTTTCAACAGTTCTGTTAAGGAGAAAGAGTGAGCAAGGAATGCGTTAACAAAGAACTGCACCCTTGATTCGGCGGAGCCACCTTAAATAATCCAGATTTAGATGTGGAACGATAAATTTTAGGGTCAAGAGCGCAGTTCGATTAAAAAAGAAGGTCACCGAACTTAAAAACAGGTAGAGCTGAAGCTAAAGGTGCCCCTAAGGAAGTGTAGAACCACTAAGATGACTTATTACTCGAGCAAAAGACCCTTAACATGATGATGGATTTAGCATACGTTGATGAAAAGACAGTCACAGTCACCGATAAAAGTCCTTTTAAAAACCCTTTTGTACTTAACTGGACTACTATCGGCTAGAAGATCGGACTATTCGATTTACTGTTATTTCTTGTTAAATAAGAAGGAAATAGAACCGTAAAGCTCATTTTCGCTTGATATGCACTCTTTAGAGGCCAAAGTATTCTTTCACGTACTCAGTTTTCATAGAGAGCTACAAGACATTTATTCCCATCACGAAGGAACGTAAAAGGGTACCTTTGGTACATATATGATAAGACACAGTCATGAAAAGCGTACACAGAGAGATCGCCAGTCATGATGTGTTGATTGCTTACCATTTTTCTTAGATATAGAGCTACGCTGCGCGCACTATGCGCGCTGTAAACTCCACTAGATAGAAGCAATAAGTTTCTGTTATCGTCAGTTGTAACGATTTGACTTATGAACCAGCAGAAAAGATCAAAGACGATGACCTTAAACTACTTACTGATGACCTTAAACTACTTCAGGTTACCGCGCCAGCCTCCATTCCATGTCCCTAAGTTCTTACCTTAGTGACGAATACTATGCAATGCATCTTAGACGAATCACGAATAATCACTTCATCACTATTGTAGTCCTGAAGTATGCTCTCCTCTGCAACCTGTTTCACCACATCTACAGGCCACGTGCTGAACACGTGATGCTCCCTAAGAGAAAAAAAACATCAGTTAAATAAAACACAGCTGGAATGTGAACAGATGATAAGCATTTGATCGGTGGCGACAGAGATGAAAGAAGAAAATGAAGAACGAACACAGGTGAACAACGTACTCTTTCCCCGTTACGGAATCTGATCGAGTTCACCACTAGGGATAGGTTCTAGATAGGTTATTTTTTCATCCAAGGGTCAAATAGGATTTCTTTAAGTTACTCGTGTAGATGAAAATACTCGATCACAAATTTTTTGTGTCTTATAATCAATTGGGTAAGGATGTTTTGCAGGAAGTATTTCTATTTCTTCAAGACTTGTTAAAACGTTTTATTGAAATGCTTTTGTGGGTCATTTGCGTTTATACCCTTAATCTTAACTGTGGCGTAATATAAACTGAAACACTACTCCTATTGAGACCTAGAAATACACTGAGAAGAGCATTGTCAAAGTTGTCCATCTTAAAAAAAGCTTTGCCAGTTCCGAGTCGTCATCTGGAATAATTGTTAATTTTCACCATTCAACCTCGAGCCATTTGGCATAATTACACGGCCCTGATGTTTTTCTACATTGAAATACGATCATTTCAGGCTCTCTTTCCTTTAAAATGAAGTTCGTTGTGACTTGGAAAAATGACCCATGGTATAAAGACGCAGCTCTTGCAATTCTTCTAGATTAAAATTACTTGATTACGACAGTAAGTGCATCCTCCTAAAGATTTACACCATGCAAACGTATACTGATGCATATTGTCTTATAAACAGATTATCTGCGCGATGTCTCGAACATAACTAGCATTTTGATGCCTAACGTGTCATATCCATTATTCGACGATTCATTTTCCTTACTTTAGGAGTGCCACTCTCCTTTGCATATCCGCGTTGAAGGACACGTCAATCTTAGCGGAAAAGAAATCTTCTCTCTCCACGGACAGTAACTCAGTTCTTTCTAGACAAACTACTGTGGCTGCCCTTCTCAGTCCACGAATAAAAGCGAGTTCCTGTTGAAAAGAAGCGTTAAATAACGAATTTTGATAATAACAATAGTTTTTGAGCTTAATAAGGATGACATAAAACAGAGTAACGATGGCATGAAGGAAGATAGACCCTAAATTACAATCACACGTGGTGAATAGCTATTTACCCACACTGTTTTACACTATCTAGTGTTAACTGAAGATTCAAAAGCCAAGAAAGACTCTCACAATGCATTATCACGCCAAAAGGGCCTATCTTTTACAAATTTTAGAATTTTATTCGGCCTATTTAACTCTTAGTGGCATACCCCAAAGTGATCCCCTCTTCTGAGCAAGGTAGTTGGTTTAACAAATGCGCTGTGTTCGTCATCATCGATTGTCACACACACTGAGCCATTAAATACAAAGTAGAACCGTTGAGCAACGTGACCTTTCCGAATTACCACACGACGTCGTCCAAAGCTGCGAAACAGACATGCCATTTGAATAGTATTACATTCATGTGCAATGTTGTTCACAGCAAAATGAAATTACCTCAGGACTACTTGCGTCCTTTAATTTTCTATCAACCTCTCATTTTAATTTGAGCGATGTCGCATTAACTTGAACACCAATGAAACTTTGGCTGACTTGATTTGCTTTCAAGAAAACAAGAGGTACAAGATTAAGGGAAACGCTTGTGTTAGTGCTTCAGAAAACAGATTTGATTCCCTCGTAGGGTTGTGAACGAATAATTCAAATAAAAGACATTCATGGTACAAGCTGTTTGTACGATGAAGAACTCACACAATGGGCAAGACATAATCCCATGGGAAGCATCTAAGCTGGAGTATACCCAACAGTAATTTTTTAATGTGAGTATTCAAATCTTCTTGCGACGAACGAACAGAACTCTAAATTTTAATGGCTGTTTCTTATCGTACCAATCGTATTTGAGTGCCGCACAAATCGCTTCTTGTATCTTAAAGCTGTATCTACGGAAACCTTTGAGTTGCTTCATAAGTTGAACGATGGAATGAATTTCTTGCTTAGTCCTTTGCTGCGGTTCCTTGAGAGTAATTTCCTTGGCCCATCTTGGTATTAGAAACTGAAAGCACAAACGTAATTGTATTCTAATAACAGATAAAAAAAAGTCCAACAACATTCAGGACCTTTCCTCTATGAACGGATAAAATAGTTGGATCATCAATAAATTGCCGTTTCGTTGGGGTATCTACGCCCTACGAAAATTACAATATCATTTTTGATGATTTATAGCAGTTTTCTCAAAACTTTATTTTTCAACAATAACTCTCGCTCTCGTCAAGATCTTTCCCTTTCTTTATTTTTACTTCCCCGGTGCTTATTCATTTTGTTTTCAGGCTTGGCTTGTTACAATAGTTGTTAGAATTCTCTCTCTTATTTCGAGTAACTAGCGATGTGATTATGTGTAAATATTGTTGCACGATGAAATTCTAGTAGATCGTCAGAGAGCAACCATTTAGCTCCTAGTTTATGTCTTTGCATGAACTTTAGCTACCAGTTTTGGCATAACAAATTACGGAAAAAGATTTCACAAGTCACCTCGTGGTGGCATTTGTAATTTTCTGGATCAAACATTAGATCCTCCACAGTTCCCTGGGCGGCGGCACTTTTCAAGCTAAGTGTGGCGTCAGAAGTAACTTCTTCATATTGGCCTTTCTCTACAGCGTGATGTACGATGCTCCGAATTGAAGTGTTGAGAGTTTGAACCTACAACAAAAACACGAGAGGGGCAATACGACGTGCGAGTTTGAATCACATGATTCCAATCAGTAGTCTTCTCGGTGGAGATGGGGCTATTCCGAACGTAAATTGCATTATAGATAAAAACCCGATTATGGTTCGATTTTAAAGCAATGAATCGCACTTTTTTATCGGTTTACCAGCGTAATAACCCATACGGGATGTCAAAAGAATAAAAGAAAAGTTCTTTAAACTTTAAGAGAGTTATACTGACAAATGAAAAGTGTTATGACCGCGGTAAACCGAAAAGAAGTGCAGACCCTTGCCTCTCTAAGGTCGGTATAGTAAACAATAAACAACTCTAACTAACCCAGTTCGAGGTCTGAACTGTGAGTTACGGACCGAATTTTTCTGCTCAAGGTTTCGTAAGTTGCAGTACAGACCGAGTTAACGAGGTCTTAGGAAGATATTTATCATACATCTGGGTTCAAATAGAAGGGTAAGATTTCAATTCAAACAAATTCTCGAATTTAGCGGCCGTTTGATGAAATACGGCCTAATACATTCTCAAACGCACGTACTAACTGAAAGATATACATGTAATAAGTATAAGTATAAGTAAGCTATAATCCATTACATTTTCATCCCAGCCATTAAATACTATAAGTAATGACTCACTTCTTACACCGATTTGAGACTTCTGAGATTAATCTAATTATTCAAAGATTCTCTTCGAATGTGCTGCTAATCGTACTATGGCGTCGCTATTTTGAGAACAATTCTGTAATCTGGCCGCACAAGCAAAACCACGACGTGCAGTTCAAAAATAGCTGGTTATCGCACAAAATGTATCACTTGGGTCAAGAAGTCCTCCTTGTGTAGCTCCTGAATCATACTGATGACCAGTATGGACACATGGGAATGCAAATTAAATAAGTCAGTGCATCATCCCTTGGTCACTGGTAAGCGGCCGGGTTGTTGAGCAGGATTCAAAATGCTGGCTTTCACATTTGAAGAAATTTTTCGAGATTTTAAGTTACTTTTCGGTTGTGAAAACTCGAGTAGTGTCACAGTTTTATACATAATTTTCAGTGGTGGGGAAAAGAATCACTTAGCCCGATGAACCAAACGATTTGAACGTGCACATCGACTGCAAGTGATCCCAACTTTAACACAAAAAAATTGGCTCAGTTGCAGTGCGTTAAAAATTTGAATTTCATATTCTTTATTTGTTAAGGGAAAGGATCGTGTAGGGCGGATCGAGCACGCCAAACTTAACCATCGTTAGCATGGAACAACACAGGTATATCTGCAAAAAATGACTTAGAGGCATTTTCAACAGAAGCTTTCACTCAAATGTGACGTGGATAACAGCAACAACAAAAATAACAGCAATAGCTGCGCTATAGGCAAAGATCATCAGCGATCATATCATACTTACCATTCTAACAGCACGTCGAAATCGATCCAGAGGCTGAAAAATAACATACGAAGAACACAGTGGGTCACTATGGCCTTGGGGAAGTCAAACGCGATAAAACCCCAATTCAATAGCGAAGTGATTTTTAAGGTAAGCGTATACTGCAAGCTATGTTGGTCATCAACGTTCCTCATCAAGTTTTTCCCTTAGATCACGGAGGCAAATTTTAGAACACTCTCAGCTTGTCTACAGTACTTTACTTCTTAATGCTGAGTCCGAGTACTGCTGATGAAGGTCATCTCGTGCTTGCTCGTGGCGTGAACGTCATAAGCGAGCCATAAACAACATAAACAACAAAAAAACCGCAGCAAACTTTTAAGTTTGTGACAGGTAAAATGTTTTTCTTGTTTCTCTTATTAACAAGAAGCAAGGAAAAACATTTCTACTTGTAACAATTAATTCAACCATCAAACAGGCCAAGCGAGGATCTTTTTAAAATGGATTAACCTCATGACATGCGTCCTATTTTCTATCTTTCCTCTCCTCGCTGCCAATTTGGGTTTGCTGAGGAATTTGTCCGCAAGTTACCCATTGTTGTTTTTCCTGAAAAGCAGCCGGGCAAGGAAAGAAAGTGGCACATGTCCAATATTCATCCTTTCAGTCCCACAGTATCTTTTTTCAAAGTAATTTTTCTATTGAACTGGGCTCAAGCGAAATGTTGAAGAAGGAATCATAATGGTACTCGAATAAATCAATTTATCAATTGATGGACTACCATATGAGGAAGGTTTTTTCTTTTTTTTGCAATGCGCAACAAAAATGACAAGTATTATTAGTATCACTATTAGAGCGCTTTTCGGTTTCGAGTTGTAAAACCAAACCCAAAGTAAAATATCCACAACGAGCCAATAAGAACTAAAAGTAAAAGAAAGTCAACTGTCTGAAGCGCGGGAAAATGCGAGTGACCAAGTCGCTGGTGGTTTTAGTTTTGAATCTGATTGTTTGAGAAAGTGGCAGGAGCTTTCTGGACCAATCAAAGAGCAAACTAAAGTAAAACCAGAGCACTCGCGAATTACTTTCAACGCTCAATTGAAAACTGCTTTATGATTGCTATAATAGCTTTTATTGTTAGTTCGTTGTTTTAATTTGATTAAGAGTTCTTCACATAATTTTCAAAAGCACCGTTTCGTGTAGTCCCTCTTAGAATGATGTTAGTTTTTTTAAACACATGCACATTTTTTGCAATTTGTTTTGATCAAGCGTTCATATTCGCCGATATGGTTTTATTGCTTATCAGTTTGGTTTAAAGTGTTTTGGTTGGTGCAATTTCCAACCGATATCAAGTGAACGATACTTCAAGTTCTACATGGCATTTGACTGCAATTGTTTCAAAACAGGAAAACTCAATTTTACCTACCTCAAGCTTTCCTTTAGTTTGCTTCTGAAAATCTGCCTGTGGAGCAAAAATGACACTGATGGCGTGTTATTCAAACTGAACCACTGAGATCAAACCTGTACCACAGGTCACCCAGAGATAACGATTGAGTCGGTTAAACAGGACTCGACTTAATATGAAAACTCGCCAGCTGAACTGAAGAGTGATTTAAGATGGACAACGATTGGATAATATTTGTGCGAGAAAACATGTACTCATGTTTGTTAAGAAAGGCAGAATTTTCTTAAGCCTACGATTCTATAGCATTTTGTGAGCTAGAATCAAATATTGTATTATTCAAAATGGAAGGTAGTATTTGAGGAATTTGCCAGTGTTGACCTTGGTAAATCTCTTGGATGGCATCTTTAATTAACACAGGAAACAAATTTTATCTACCCTGATCTATGGTAAGCACTAGTTTAGACATAACTAAGTAAGATAAAACAGATTACCCATAAACGCAACAATGCTAATGCGGAATAAGTGGGCAGATAAGGAAAAGCATTTTTATCAACAATTACATCGTTAAAACTGTAAAAAGCTTTGCCAGTGATCAACGCAGTATTTTCTTTTAAAACTTAATCACGTCGGGCCACAGCTTTGTGGCATTTGTCATACAATTAACCTTAGAAACTTTTATGCAGTTTCCGGCTTTTTGCAAGCAAGGCAGCTTATTTCTTTAATTAAATTCTCAGCGGGATTTTCACAGTTTGGGTTGGCAGACTTCTCTGGGGGTTTGGACTCTTTATCTGATAAACGTTTTGCAGTTGTTGAAAGAAATCAGTGATCAGTATCACAAATTCAAAGGAAGAGTGAACAGCAACATGTATTCAAAGGTTCTTTGTAGCGGAATATCCAGACTTTTGTTAAGTCGTTTCATCTGCAATGAGCTATATAAAGCAACTATTTGAAGTATGTGCTCATCCATCCTTATTATGACTTTTATTAAATGCTTTGTCATGACCTTGCGCATTCTTCTAAAACCAGAAACAAGTGCGCCATCGACCGGCAATAAAGGACGGGATAAAATTCATATAGCCACCAATCTCAACGAATGTATACATTCGCAAATCAGCAGATCTATTTTTTTTAAGGTAATGAGAGAATATTGGATTGTGGTACCAAATTTTTTAAATAATTAACGAATATTTGTCACGCGATTACCTAGGTTGCTCACGCGAGCTAAGTCTACAAAACTTAATAGCCCCACAAAAATCCGAGTATAAAAAATCCGCGTATATTAAAATTGAACACAGAAATAGCCTGGAATAAAAATGAAATAATCAAATTATCTTCGAGCACTGTATAGAGATGCATATTAAGGAACTGACTGAATAAAACGTAGACGTGATCTACCAGGTATTTGAGTTTACGAGTGCGAATTGTTGCTTAGAGATGCGGCTCACGGGCTAAGGGTCTTGCAAGATTCTTGAAAGCTTAGCATTAAAAAAAATAAACTGAAAAATCTCACCTGCTTTTTCTCATAGTCTCTTAGCCATTTCTTGGGTACGTTCATCTTGATGTAATCCCCTTGCCATCGCCCAGTTTTGTTCCTGTCAAACGGATGTCCGTTATATTTCACACGATGTGATGGCCTGTGCTTATCAAACGTAGCTTTAGATGACTGAGATCTTTTCTCGACTGGCAAGAAATTTTTTCGTAATGCTCCACTTGCCCACGATTTATTTCGTGTCCTTTTCCTAAGTTTTAAAAGATCATCGGCCGAGTCTCGAGGAGTTGTTTCATTCGGCATCTCAAAACTTGAACGATGATCAAACATAAAAGCATCATCAACACTTTTGCCTCGCTGCCCACGTCGCTTCGCTTCATTAGTTTTTTCATTTTCCATATTAAATCGGTATTTTTCTTCGCTGTTGAACCATAATTCTTAACTGTTCATGAGCCCTCAATCTAAATTTCGCTTCATTGTCTCGGGGCGTTAACAAGGGAAATATTAGTACTCAAAGTAACTCGCTATTGTTTCCTATGTTTGCGGAACTGTTTTTTTTTTTCAAGCTCGCGTGGTTTCTACGCAACCACTGTTGCTTGTATATGAGCGCGCGCTTGACGTAGGACAGAGAGGACCACAATTTCAAATTTCAAAGTCGATCGAAACTAATGGTTCATGCAGTTGAGATTTTCATACTGACTGCTCTTTCACATGTACATCTTATTTTCTTTTTCTTTCTAGGTCAATCTAGCGCCCCATATTTAACAGTTGTTCATCAACTGACACTTAAGTTAAGAAGGCCAACAACAGTGAAAGATCAAAATCAACAAAAACCTTCTGTTATCAGAAATAACGATATCATACTTAAGTCCAGTATTTGGGTAAAAGATGACTTGATTACGGGTAACGGAGAATTTCCTTCGGAAACCATATATCAAAAATAATAATAATAATAATAATAATAATAATGATAACGGTTTAATATCAGTACATCCATGGTATGGCTCTTCGCCTGATATGAGATAAAAAGAAAAATAAATAAATAATAAATAAAAATACATAAATCTGAATTATGAATTTGTAAAAAGCTAGGTAATAAACAGTAAAATGTAACTATACAATATATACATTATTTAAAACTAGGCAAGAAATTATTCCGCCCTATTCCGGAAGCGCTCCCTTAAAATACATAATGTTTTCTTACTAAAGGATTTAAAATTATCACAGCATTTAGCATTGGATGGCAGAGAATTGAAGAGGGCTGCCGCGCTATACTGAAAAGTGTCCGAGGCATAGGGAATAACTAGATTTATAGTATTTGATGGTCGTAAATTTCTGGTATGTTTTACTTGCTCAAGCTGAAGGTTTCTGGGCCAATCATAAGAGTATATAGCTTTGTGTGCGGCCTTTAGAACGTGCCATTCTCTACGTTCTTTCATAGACAACCAGCCTTACTTAAAAATAGAGTCAATATTGTTCACATAGCGTCCAAAAACAAAACTGGCGGCCGCAAACTGGATACGCTTTAACCCTTTAGAAGGTAATCAGTAAGTGGATGAATTTATTATATCACTAAAGTCTAGGCGAGATAGAACCAGACATTCAACTAAATGTTTTCTAAGGTGGTAGTTTGTAAAGTTCTTGATTTTCCTCAGCGCAAGTAGGACACCATAGCAAGATGAGGTGAGATGCTCAACATGATCATCCCTTTTCAAGGTGTTAGTCATGTGAACCCCAAGTAATTTAATAGAGTGAACACTCTCGAGGGGTTTATCTCCTACAGATAAATGTATAGGACGTTCAGCCAGAGAATGGTAAGACGATATCTGAGGAGTTGAGAACAACATACACTTAGTCTTTGCAGGGTTCAGCGCCAAGTTGGAGTCCTGGGACCAGTTTGTGATACTTACAAGAGTCTCATTCACGTCCACAACTCTTGAGTCTAACTCCTTGACATTAAAATAGCTGTACAGTGAGGTGTCGTCCGCAAACTGGACGCATTCCATCAATGATGGAGTGATCTCGTGTAGATCTGATACATATAAGTTAAAAATCATCGGTCCTAGGATGGACCCCTGTGGAACGCCTTACTGAGATGACTGGTACGAGGACTTCCTATCGTCGATCTGCACGAACTGGGAGCGGCCAGATAGATAGCTCAAGAGCCACTTGAGAAAGGGTTTTGAGAAACCGAGCTTGTAGAACTTCACGATGGTCGCGCTAAAGGATATGGTGTCAAAAGCCTTCGAGAAATCGGCTAACACCATAAGCGTGACCTCTTTCCTTTTCATGGCATAGCGAATATCGTCTCTAACTCTCAACAAGGCTGTAGTGGTGGAATGCCCTTTACGGAAAGCAGAGATGCGATCGTGAAGAAGATGGGCGTGGTCCGCATAATTCGTCATTTGAATAGCCACAAGCTTCTCGAAGACCTTGGATAGAACAGGTAGAACTGAGATGGGCCGGAGTTGATCGTTAAAAACTGGGTTGTCAATTTTTGGAACTGGAGACGCCCGAGCAATCTTCCATTGCTTTGGAAAATAAGCTTCCGCAATGCAACTGTTGATGATAGATGTCAGGGGGACTGCCAAGCACTCAGCAACTATCTTGATGAAGCGTGTAGGTATCTGATCCGCGCCCGTAGAACAATCCGATCGTAGATTCTTGATGATCTGGAGAACGTTCTCACTGGTGACAGGTGACGGCTGAAAACGCATACCCCCAGTGGGAACGTCAGGCAGGTTACCTATCAGGCACGTGAGATCCTCTATTGGGGTCGCCCGAGTCTCTAGTGTTCTCTGAGCAGTCGTCGCGAAGAAATCGTTGAAGTTTGTCCCGATCAAACCGCAGGGGCCTTACACTTGGCTTTAGCACTCTTCCGCAAGGGGACGTGTCTCTCAAGACACTAGGAAATTAGTAGTATATAACAGACAGAGGAAGAGTACGAAAGTCATCTTTAAACACGTCCTCGTTAAAGTTCCTAATGTCCCTGATAAATTTATAATGAGGCTGGAACCGAGGGAGCCGTACATTGACGCATGCGTAGATGGCATCGTGGTCACTTACAATAGAGCATGGAATTATACCAGTGTTGGTCACCTTTGCGGATGGTTGGTAATAAAGTGATCAATTAGGGTTTTGGAGGTCCTCGTAGCACGTGTGGGCCGTTCCACAATCTGTGTAAGCTCAAACAAATCCAGTATACCTTGAAACCTTTTTGTCAGATGGTCAGAAGGACGAAGCATATCGATATTGATGTCTCCTGTAAGCATTAACATGCCATCCCAGTACACAGTTAGGTATCCAAGTAAGTTATCTAAACTATTTAGCCGATCAGAAGGACTGAGCATGCGCTCGGAATTATAGATCACACCTACAAGAGCCCTACTATACTTATTGCGGCCAGGCACCTCTATCCATAGGTGTTCAAGTTCTGGGTGGGCATTTTCAATGTCATGACGGCGCTTATAATTGATATTTTCCTTAATATAAACACCGACGCCACCTCCCCTTATACCTTCCCTGTTCCGGAATTCCGCAACAGAGCCAGGGATAGAAACAGTCCAATAACTGGGGTTGATCTCTAAGCCAGGTTTCGCTCAATGCTACAATGTCCAGTGGATATGAATTGACAGCGAGTAAAAGTTCATTAAATGTCGAAACCATGGACTGAGTATTAAGATGCATTATTTTTAATTGGCCTGAGTTAGAGCAGAGCAGATGAATATCAAGGCCAGGATCAAGAGGTGCGGACAAATCGAGTGTATCATCCAACATTTTCGCTTCAGAGCACTTGTAAAAGGGCAGGGCAAATCCCAGACAGTTACTGCATAACCAGGTAGAGGAGGAGGCTGTCAGGCCGGAGCATTTCAGGTGGAAAGAGCCAATACAACCACAGCAAGTTATGCTTGCTTAATTTCTTCTTATCGTTTTCTCACAACAATCAAATTTCGTTATGTTTCGCTTGGCATTTGTTTTTTGTTTTGACTTTTGGGTGCATGATGTCGCTGTTTGTACTAGCCTTTGTATTGCAATGGAGTTGCTGTAATAAGCAACCGGCGTTTTGTAACATCGCGGACGCTTGTTCCTTTGTTTACATCGATGAGAGCTGGACCATATAGAATCCATTGTAGCGAGGGCTCCGCCATCAAAAATTATTGAAAAACTTTTACTACTAGCCGCATTTTAGATTTCACAGAGCAATGTAAACGTCTGAGAATTGCCTTGAAAAGTAGGAAAAAATTAACCATTTTAAAAACAATCCAATAGGCTCTGTCTACGCACGTAAAACCAAGACGCGCGGTGTCCAAGCAGCTGTTGCTGTGGTTATCCACCCAAAAGGGAACCATGACCATGAGTTACTTCAAAGAAAAGATAGTGTTATCCTGTAAAGAGGTAGAATATTGATATTTCCTTCTTTCTTAGAAACGTATGTAGAACTTTTGATACGTGTGCAACAACTTTAATCTATAAAACTAGATAGAAACCAATGATGTATAATATATCATGACATCTCGTATCATTGGTAAGACTGACTGTTAACTAGCTGTAGCAAAAGGTATCAGTCAATAGCCGATTATCATTCATTTTTGTGATATTATCATTAAATGATTGATTTCCGTTTATCGTCATTGTCGGTTTAAAAATAAACACCGACAGACTTGTTGCTCATTTAAATGTTTCATTTTAGCCTGTGACTTATAGTTAAAATATAAACCGTCTTGTAACAGATATTATTTTTTTTTTCACCTTTGTTATGACGACTATTGAATGTTTAACAGGGAAGTTTAGTATTATCAACTGAGTTGATAACGTAAATTGACCACCGTAAATAGTTGAAAAGCTGGTCTTTCGAACGTTAGCCCCTCGTTAGAGCGATTGAAAGAGTTCTGGGTTGCGTGTGGGTTTATATGGAGAGAATGGAGCTACGCTATTGGTGGGAATATGGTCGAAAAAAATTTTTCAGTCAATACAACGCCCCCAAACCTGAACTCTACGGTCGCCACATTGACGACTGCATCGGCGTTACCTCCCCTACCAGAGGAGGTTTTCACTTAGTTTATAACCGCTGTCAATTCCTTTTACTCGGCTCTGAAATATACCAGGGAAGTTTTCGACACCTCTTTAGCTTTTCTAGACATCAAAATTTCAGTTGAAGGCAGCGGTTTATGTTTTAGTGTTTAATACAAACCTACATATTCACATAGTTACTTGTTGTATCCATCTTCACATCCATCATACGTCAAGAATTCCATACCCTTTTCCCAATTTCTCAGACTTCGTCGTTAATGTAGTGACGACCCTTATTTTTACGAAAAATCAGAGGCAATGTGACAGTTTTTCGATGAACGCGGCTATCCTGTTTCTGTCGTTTAAGTGGGCCACCACCGCGCCCAACAAATTGATCGAAAATCGCTAAACACTTTAATCTCTTTCATCATTCTGAATGAAAGGTGCCAGGAACCTCATTTCAGATAAAATATTCAATGGAAGAAATAAATATTAAATGGCTTTTGGAGCATACTTCTG